GAATCTTAGTTATTAGTATGTTTGCGAAAACCTTTTCTTATACAGTTTCCCTTATGCTTACAATTATAATTTATAATTATAGTTATAAGTATAAATTGTAACAGTTATGCTGACGGCTTAGAACCTTACATTGACAAGCAGAACTGACTTTCTGTCACGCAAATTGATCCATTTTGCCCATGAATAATTTAGAAATTTTGGCTACTTTTGGCAATACAGAAGATGTTCAGAACTACTTAGTGCATTAGTTAATACAAAAAGAGTTAACAGAAAAGCGTTATTCATATACGTGTGTTAAATTCAACATGAATAGCATTCCGCCAGAAAACTTTCGTTTTCTTTTTCGATTTGAAAAAGAACATATAATTAAATTACATCAAGCTTTGCAAATGCCTGCAAAATGGGTTACACCAGATGGTCATGTCATTGAAGGTTTATTATTATCTACAATCGAGAAGAAATTCCGTATTTTTAAACACTCTTCATTTATAGGTCTTGCAGGATTATGTCTCGTTTTAAGACGATTTTCTTACCCAAACAGACTAAAAGGATTGCAAAATGAATTTGGATTACATTTTTCGTCAATCAGTAAAATTTTAAAGTTTGTTATTACTTTTATATTCAAGAAATGGGCCAAGTTATTATTAAATTTTGATAAAAACATATGGTTAACGCAAGGTTTTCTCGCAGAGGTGGCTGCCTTCGTACATAAGAAAGGTGCTCCTTTAAGAAATTGCATTGGGTTTATCGATGGTACTGCCCGGGCAATTTGTAGACCATCAAAATTTCAAAAAGAAGTTTACAGCGGACATAAAAGAATACATTGTCTGAAATTTCAATCAATCACCGTTCCAAACGGTATCATTTTACATTTAAGTCCTCCGTATTCTGGCAGACGACATGACTCTTTTATCCTTAAAAATTCAAAAATCTTAGAGCAAATGAAGCTCCATTGCCCACAGTTTTGTTTATACGGTGACGAAGGGTATCCATTAGTGCAACAATTAATAAGACCATTTTCTAATCATAATTTAACAGAGCAGCAACAAATGTTTAATACCAAAATGTCCAAAATACGCCAATGCGTAGAATGGAGTTTTGGTAAAATAACAACACAATTTGCGTTTGTTGATTTAAAAAAAAATCAAAAACTTTTTCTGCAACCAATAGGTCAGTATTATATTGTGGCTGCATTACTAACGAATGCGCATACATGTTTTTATGGAAGCACAACTTCTCGATACTTCGATATAGAATCACTAGATATTATGGAATATTTTCAATAATTTCTTTTTAATCAAACAATTACCTTTAATTAATATGTTATTATTAAATAAACATTTAAAAGCTGTAATTATTTCAAAAATTATGTCAGATTTTTATTATTTAAATTTTGTGTTAAAATGTTTTCCAAAAATCTGTTTAAAATTGCATTTTTTTGTCTTTCTATTTTACGGCCCTCTTCCTCCTCTTGCCATTTTTTCTGTTCGAACTCAAGTTTAGCTTTTTTGAATTCCAACTCTTCTATTTGAATTTTCATATTATCTTGATGTTGCTTTTCTTTAAATCTTAATTGTTCTTGTTGTAGCTGACTTTTCCGTTTCATTTTTTCAATTAAATATGAAAAACTTGTTCCATCTTTAGTTCCATTTCTCGTCTTTCGTGCTGCTGCTGTATAAACCCTGCTAGATTCTTGGTTGAACCCTTCACGACCCCCACGCTCACCATCAATATCAGTGTCATTAAAATCGTCAACAGTGTGAAAAAATATTTCATTGTCCACGTCAGTGGCTTCTGTTTCTAATATTTGTTCACTATTACAACTTTCAATAGGACTGTCCAAACTTTGCAGAGCAGCTTGGCGAATTGCTTTTGCAGGCATAACCTCGTCGAATTTTTGGCCACTGCATCTTTTTTTACCCCGTTCATTTTTTTTATTTTCTATGTCAATTTGTGCCACATCTTCATATTGCGACCAGACAGTCAGAAGTTTTCTAACAGCGTCGCCCCACTCAGTCTGTATCCGTTCTTTCCCACTTTCTGTAGCTTCGTCGGCATCAAATTTTCTAAATTTTATTACTTGTTCCAACATATGATCTTTTAATAATTTGAAGCTACAGTTCTGAAAGCGCTCTCTTTCGTCTTCACTTACGACTGCATGAAGTTTTTTCCACACATCTTCTTCGTTTGTAAATTCAGTCTCGCAAAGAAGGTCGAATAATGCATTCAAACATTTTATACGTTCCCTCTCTGAGAATCGAAATCGTTTCTTTTTCAGTTGCGACATAACTAATTAAAGTTCTAAATGACACTGACTGACATTGTAGAAAAATTCTACTATTGTCAATATAAGAAGTAACGATTGTGAGTGTTAAGACATAGTTATAAGGATAAGTGTAAGCATAAGAAAAAATTTATAAGAAAATGTTTTGCGCAAACACGCTATTATATACTAGGGCAACTTATATAAAAAAACGTTGATTTATTTTTAGGCATGGCAAGACAATGAAAAAAAGGCAAAAAGTAAGTGATCAACAAATTTCAAACACAATCGTGGTACCGGAGGGGGAAAACCAGCCCAAGAAAACTGAGTGATTCGGATATTGCAGTACTAAATATAATAAAAGAAGTATCTGTAAAGGGGTCACAGTAAAGTTAATGAATCAATTGTAAAAGAAAACATGTTAGAGATGGAGAAAGCAAGAAAATAAGACAACGACCCAATGGAGAATCTACTTACAGAAGTAGAAGAAGCAGAAAATATGTTGTTTCGTGAAGAAGAAATTCCAGTTTTAACAGAAAATCAGAACGTGTCTTTTGAAGAAAATTTTATAGATATTGAATCAACTTCAAAAACTATACCCAACAAACCAGAGAGTATTAATAAAAACAGTAGCAACATTCCCCAAGATCTTAACAGAAATAATACATTTGAGCGAGCATTTGAAGCAGTACCTTCAAAGAGAGAATCAAAAGCCAAACAAACCGCAAAAGCTGTTTCGCATTTCGAAAGTGTGAGTACGGAAAGAATTATTATAAAGTGTTTGAATGTGAAATAAATTTATGAAACAAAAAAAAACGTAATACAGTTATTCTATTGTGATTCACTAATTTTGAAATCTTCGGATTAAATCAGCTCTAATTATTCGTCCTTTGGCTAAATTTGGATTAACTCTTCTTGCCGGTCTATGTCTTGGTTATTATTTTCCATGTCATACATTTCAAAATCAATTTCGGCTGGTAAATATAGGTCTAAGACTTCGGGAACATTATGTTCTATACCTAGGTTGTAAAAACGACACAGGCATTAACAATTCGACCTGTCGTGCCTGGATCATAATGTTTAATGCATTGTTCTATCTTTCAACAAACACCGAAATCTTTTTTACGAACACCGTTACATCTTTCTATAATGCTTCTTATACATTTAAACAAATGGTTAAATCGTCCTGGAGTATTTCTTGGAGGCTCGCCTTCTACAGGTGTTAATAACCACGGGCGAAGTGGATAGCCTGAATCTCCAAAAAGGTAGACAATGTGACCAAATGCGTGCAAATTTTGTAGTGCAATGTTCACATTTGAAGTCTGCCAAATGAATGCATCATGCGTACTCCCTGGATAGGCGGCATTAACATTTAATATTCCAGGAAACCCATATCTTTGGTAAAATTAGCACGAATATTCACCATTTCCTCCATTGTGTGAGGAAATTTTACGAATCTATTAAATACTGCTGGCTGATTTAACGTGTCAGTTATTTCCTTTAAACAACGACTTACTGTTGGTTGTGTTACACAAAAATATTTATTAGAACCAAGATCCATTTGATAGCTCCCACTTGCATAAAAAGGTAATGCTAACACTACCTAAAATAATAATAATTTTATGGTAATGATTTCTAATAATAATCTTTTAAAAACAATCATTGTATTGAGAAGCAAACATAATACGCAGTAGCTACAAAAAGTAGTCTATTTTCTATAAATTACCTTTGTTTCAATATCTATATCCTGATCACGATAAGCCTGGGTTAAAAATGGTCTTATAACAGAAAGAAAACGCACTAATTCTTTTGACAAACGGAATAATTGAACAAATTTGTGTTCGAGTAGCTCTTCAAATGAATTTCTCCTTCGATCATAAACTCGAAATGCCCTGCTTTCAGCATCTTCTAAGGCTTCAGTTAACAGAAGATGAAGATATTCATCAGGCATTTTGAACTTTTTAAACTTGATTATCACTTATTACTCACTGCAAAATAATACGTAATAATATGCGTATGCGAAAGAAATATTCACTCGTCATAGACCGCTCGCTGCAAATGCACTTCGTAACAATACATGCGAATGCACAAAAATAGGAAGTTTGATGTTGTATTCGCATTGCATTATGATACGCATTCGCATATTTACATGCACTAGATGAGAATATGTCCCCAGATTCATTTCTCCTTGGTAATTAATAAGGAATTCATATTTTTTTAGTTGATGACAAGCTTATATTATAAACTTGTACTCATACTTCCTGAAATCGTGAATACATTACAGGTGATAGCGCATATCCTCTACGGGAATATTTATTAACACCTCTTCAAAATCCAAGAACTGAAAGAGAACAGCTTTAAAATGAATCTCACATACGAACAAGAGGTGTGGTGGAGAAACTTTTTGGTATTTGGAAGAGAAGGTTCCCTGTGTTAGCATATGGAAGGCTAAAGCTAACAAATACTCTCAGCGTCATTATTGCTACAGGAGTGTTGCACAAGATTGCACGAAAAAGAGGAGAGAGAAGCTGAACCCCCTTTGCCAGGAGAAATAAATGAACACGTATTGCAACAATTGATTCGAGAAGGAGAAATACCGCAGGTGCCTCACGCAAACGAAAGACAATTTTTAGGTCCTCAAATGAGACGAAGTTTAATTGGAAGATTATAATTTCTTAAGAATATTTTATAATACCATATAAGAAAATTTATTACATTAGATAAAAATAATCAGATATCACTGAATTGAATTTCCTTTTCCTTGTAATAGACATAATAGAAGGTCTGACGCCGAAGAATCGTCAATTTTTTGTAACAGTGCCCTCTTTATATCTATATCCAACTCTAACGATTTTTTTTTTAATGCAAACAATTCTTCTTTCCTTTCCTCTGTGACTGTGTGCTCATTTTTTAAAGCCTCCAATTGATAAGTAGTCAGCTTAATTTTCAGTTCTGCTAACTGGTCATATTTTTTGGCCAAATCTGATGAAGACAAGTTGCTGCCTGCTGGTCTTGCAGTCCACGACAATGTTTCTGTCGGTTTCGCTCTATTTTCATCAGGAAGTGTAACAGAATTTTGGGGTGGTGTGGCTTGTCCAGCTGTTGACAAAGGCACCAGTTTTCGATTTATTGGTTTTTTCAGGTTGCCAACTTTAAAATCACCCCATTTCATATTATTATTATCAGCAACATGCTACAACATATCAACATTATTAGGTTGTATAATCTACATATCATATGGCGCAAATTCAATAGTTTTACAAGGCCTCCAGTATACTCAGATGAGTTAAACTCATTATTTACCTCAACATCCTGATGTGTTTCTCCTTCATCAACTGGCTTACTATCATCACTATCGCTGTCATGACCTGGTAAAGGGAAAAAGGGTTGCAGGTTATTAATGGAAATACCAGGTGTTGCAAGATCTTCCGATGCCTCTTGTTTTATTAAAGTTTGACTATCTGAATCAAAATCCTGTGCAAGACCATGTACAGTTTTTGGATTCATGGCGGCCAAAGCGAGGTCGAACGTAGGATCGTTTACAAGCATTTTGCCTTTCCCTCCTCCTGTGCGCTTGGTGGACACTTTTTCATCAGAAACTACCAGACGTACATTTTTTTTAGTATTTTCATAGCAATTTTTTAATGACTGCTGCTTCCTGTAGACTCCAGCAGTTGATCGCTTATTAAATAGGACCGTAATGGATTTCCAACAACGTTCCTTTTCGCGCCATGTGACGGCATCCGATTTTTTACATTCGATGATTTTTTTATAAACTAGCACTAAATTTAACAAAAGATTTTTTTCATTTCTTGTGAAATTCGGCGATCGAGATTTTGTTGCTTTTTTCACGACTCCACTATTACTATCGTTGTCCATCTTAAAGATCTGAAATGAACGAAAAAAAAAAACCTTTCTTGTTGTGTTGGAAAAAGTTATCGAAACGAAACGAAAATGATAAGAAACGTTGTCCGCAAACACTGTGATATAAACAAAATAAAGACCTTACCTATTCTAGCTGAGAACTCTATAGCTACTGCATGTAATTTACCACAAAATTCTGCTTTAATTCCTACACTCGCTACCGGTTCAGATAAAGTAAAAAACCGATTCTATTTTCTGATCTCTCACACCACAACATTAAAATTATCCACGCCTACAGCAACGTCAACCCCAAGAATAAAGAAGCAACGTTCTTCTTCGTCTGATGATAAATGTGGTATGTATATCAAAGATACTAATAATAGGATCTGCGCAAGTACTTTGCAAAAATCGTGAAATATATTTCAGTTCCAGCAGTTGGAAAAAAAACTATGCGTTCTCGAATAATTCTAAGTCTGAACGATGAAGATGACTACACATTTAGTAAAAAGTTTAAAAATGATAAACAATTTTTGATTGGCAATGCTACCATATATCCGAAAAATTTAAAACCCATCGCTCTCAATCCGGGAGACACAGATGTATACATAGGTGGTTCAGCAATAGATTGTTATTTACTCGCAAATATCCTATGCTTCGAAACAAAAGAATTTTACCGAAATGTAACTATTTTTCCTGTAGAGGGCTACATTATCAATGAACTACGAGGCATAATCAGAATGATAATTTTCCAAGACGGAACAATTTAATTATTTGAATATTAGCCACACCGGTGGTTGATATTATTTCCATCGCCTTCGTAAGGTCATCCGTATTGTTGGCTGTTTCATTATTTTCTGTTGATTCCTGCAGATTATTTATTATTAAGTTGCACACACGACGTTATCTGTCCTCTATTTCATCAAACAGCTGTTCATCAGTAGGTACATGACCGGTGCATAGGATATCTCTTCGTTTTTTAGAGATTTTTTACTTGTCCGAGTTCCGTTTTCAACTATTATTATCTATTATCCGTTCACGATCTTTATATAGTAAGGTTGGCCATGAAAATCTAGTGAGTTTGTTGGTATTGGATGCAGAAGAATACAAATTCCCTGAACTTTTTTCATTAGGTTATGTTTTATTAAATTAAAGGTTAAAAAGATGCCAGAAGTATAAACATTGTTGCCGATACTTTTAGTTTTCAGTAGCAATGACCAAGTTAACGGTATCCATTTTTTAGAAAGCATAAAACTTTACGCTATTTAAACCAGTTATTCGGCATGTACCTATTCAATCATCTCGAGAAACCTAGAAATGCTTCTAAGACATATTACACAGAAAAAATTGTTGGATGCCTGAAAACTTGCTACAAGAAAGCCAGAACCGAAGCTACTTTTCAATCAATTGACGAGTCAATGGTGAAATTCAAGGGGCGATCAGCACTAAAACAATATAGGGGAAAGTCCCCCTTATTGGACCAGTGCCTCAATTGAACCACCCTATTTTTTTTTTAAATCTAGAATAGTTGCCGACATCTAGTGCATATTATTCGAAAGTATTTGGCGCCAAAGCAGTGTTGTGCAAAATTCCATTCTGTAGCGGGAAGTGTCTGCTTGTTAAATTGCAAAGAAATTTTGCCACCATTGTGATACAACTTTTCGCATGGTTTTGTAAGGATATATAGCCTAAATTATTTCATAAATACAGTGCACAAAGACTACATTGGTCAAAGCGTAATAAAATTAAGAACCTAACCTAGAAATAAATATGTTTTATTTCGTTATAGCGTTTTAATACAAGAAAATAGTAAATTTTGTACCAGCGCGTAAATTGGACCACCTTAGATTCTCCTTATTTGGACCGGTCTAATTGAAGGAACTCCCGATTTGACCAATCACGTCACAGTATCTAGGCGCGTAATTTTAGAATTTCGTATTACAATGCCCAATAATAAATTTTCTTGTTATAATCTATTAACTATGATTTTATACTAGATGGATGCGGAAAAACAAGCAAAAAAGAAGTATTATAAATGGAGCGAAGAGGACATGGATAATGCACTAACTGCTTTTCGTAAAAATCAACTAGGGTTGAACGAATGTTGTCGGCAATTTAATGTGCCAAAAGCCACATTTAAAAGACGTTTGTCAGATAGTAACAAACACATTAAGGGCAGTACGAAACGCGCCGGGGTGATTACAACGTTGCCTGCCGAATTAGAAGCTGATTTAGTGGAACACGTCCTTAGGTTAGAAGCTTGCTTTTTTGGAATCACCAGACGAGATGTGATGAACCTTGCATATCAATTGGTGGAGAAAAACAAAATATACCACAGATTTAACAATACTCAACAACGTGCTGGAAAAAAATGGTATTACAATTTCATTAGAAGACATCCCGGACTATCACTTCGATTACCAGAAAAAACATCCATGGCTCGGGCGAAGGGTTTCAACAGGGAAAATGTTACAGACTTTTTTAACATATATGAACGTATTGTAGATGAAAATCAGTTTGACGCCGCTAGAATATACAACTTGGATGAATCAGGTTTTTCAACCGTTCAGAAAAAACCACAGAATATTTTAGCAAGAAAAGGAAAAAAACAAGTTGGAGTAATCTCAAGCAGCGAAAGAGGAGTCAATACAACAATTGTTTGTTGTTTCAATGGTACGGGAGTTTATGTCCCACCAATGTTCATATTTAAAAGAATGAGAATGCATGAATCTCTAAAAAATGGCGCACCGCCTGAAAGTCTTATTGAAGTATCGGAAAGCGGATATATAAATTCTAATTTATTTACCAAATATCTGCAACATTTTGTTAAAACAATCAAACCTACAAAAGACCAAAAAGTATTATTGCTATTAGACGGCCACACAATCCATACAAAAAATTTGGATGCATTAGAATTAGCAAGAGACCATGGGATTATTCTATTGCAATTGCCTGCTCATGTCACCCACAAGATGCAGCCTATTGATGTCGGGTTTTTTTCGCCACTCGAAAAAAGATATGTTATAAATCAGGAAACATGGTTGCGAAGCAATCCGGAATGTGTCATTACTCAATTTCAAATAACAACATTACTTGGAGAAGCGTACTGCGAAGTCGCCACCGTTGCCAACGCTATTGGTGGATTTAAAGGTTCAGGCATTTGGCCTGTTAACCGACACGTTTTTAGTGATGTTGATTTTGCAGCAGCAGATATATATATATTAAACGAAAGCGAAAATGAAAATGATAGGATTATAAGAAATGTAACGCCCATCGCTGAAATTGGGGGTACCGAAAATGTAAGGGAAACTATAGTTAGTCGAGATTTCACGATTGATGAGCACTCTAATCACCTCTATATTATACACCTCTAGAAATTTCACCTATGCCCAAGATAATTAAGCAAACAACAAAAAGAAAAAGAAAGACGCAAAAAACTATAATATTAACAGCGACACCTTACAAGGAACAGTTGGAACAAAAGAAAAAACAGAAGACTAAGAGCAAATTTGTTGATGAACTTAAGAACCCAAAGCAGGTCCATCTGGTTTGCGTAAGGACAAAATACCAAATGCAAAACAAGACGTTATTATAGAGGCCAATGTGCAAGAATGGTACTGCTTCCTCTGCGAGGAAACAACGCTGGAAGACATGATTCAGTGCAATGGATGCAAAAAATGGGTTCACGAAACATGTTCAGGAGCTGAATCGCGCACAAAGCGTTATTTATGTGATTATTGTACCTAATTATAACAGTATTGTTCAGTTTACATGTAGTTCTAAAACGTTTATTTTTGTTATATATATATAATCTGTTACCCTCTTTTACCTACTGGGTGTCGAGGGGGGAGACGCACCGAGCCGCTCAGATAGGAATGGCGATCTTGGCCACCCATCCACAAAGTGACTGCGGACAGCGTTGCTTCATGAGCATTATCGCTGCGCCGCGCTAGGGGCTATCTGAGCCGTACTGTTATTATTTTTTAAAATTTAATATTGTTTTTTTTTCACATTTTAAATAAAATTATGTTCATTTCATGCATTTTTACCAAGAAGGTCCAATCCAAGAATATAGTGGTCCAATTTAGGAACCCAGTCTCCTATTTTGGACCACTTGCAGACCTTCAAAAATTATTTTTTTTAACCAATTTGGATGTTTCAAAAAATTCTAAAAAAATTACCAAACATTGAAAACATGTCAAAGTTAATGGCTCAACACTAGATAAGTTAATATCGTATTACATTTTGGTTTTAATTGAAAAAATGTCCCACTAGGTCCGAATGAGGGGACTTTCCCCTATGCCGCTCAAGCCTATCAAAAAACGAATTAAAATTGGCAACGAAGTGATTCACTAACAGGATATGTTTACGACTTCAATATATATTCAAGCAAGGAAACTGAACAGCAAGAGGGCACATTAGGCGAAAGAGTAGTTCAGAGGTTGACTTATGTTTTTCTATCGAAAAACTGACGTTGCCTTATGTTTTGATCGGTTTGTTACCTCCGTGAATCTTATGAAAAGCATTTCACTTGCTGCTGTAGGAACTTGTATGTCCAATCGAAAGAATTTACCAATTATGACCACTAAGCTAAAGAATAGGGGTGATGTTGAATTTAAGTGCAGCACAACAGGTGTAGTAGCAGCTAAATGGAAGGATACAAAAGAAGTGTTACTAGTGAGCAACTGCCATGATGCAAACACCGTTTAGGTACGTAAATAGAAAACAAAAGGATAGAAATTATGTTCAAATCCAATGTCCTGAAGCAATTTGTTTTTATAATGAACACATGGGAGGTGTTGATCTTTCTGATCAACTGGTTGGAACGTATGATTTAGATAGAAAATCCACAAAATGGTGGAAGAAAGTTTTCTAGAAGTTATTACTGAATATTAAAAATAGTGTTGACATCAATAAATTTCAAAAACTTCGAGCCTATCTAAAAAAACAAGGCGAGGGATACAGTGCCAAAAAGTACAGGAATTCGACAGTTTCTTGAGATAAGCTGATGATTTCAAATATTTAGC